CAGCCCCTCTTCCCCGGGAAGTAACCACTGCTCTTTCTTTGGAACTCATTAATACTTGCAACTCCTGTTTGGATGTGGCCATAGTTACTGACGCTAGCACCTGTCTGCCCGCCTGCCCTGGGTTTTCGGTTCTGTAAAATTCATTGTGTGTGTGCCTGTGTGTGTGCGAATGACTGCAGCACGTGTACAACACGGCGTCCATATGACAAAACCAGCCTTACAAATGTTTGCCTTTTTAAACAAAAACATGTGGCATATATTTTTATTAAATCATAGAAAACTCATTTGTATACAAATTGGTTCCACTTTGGGGAAACTGGAATAATAAACAGCTGGGTAACAAAACGGTGGAAAGATACGTTTCACTTTACGCAGAGACCAAGTGTTGTCATATTTATTTTTTAAAAATGTTGAAACAATCCGTAACAGGTTGTTGGCTTTTTTTTTTTTTTTCACCCTTGTGCAGGAGGAATAATCTCTCTCTTGTAACCCCCGCTTCTCTCTGAGGATGTTTCTCATTACTTAAATCAACGGTAAGCTTAAAAGACGGTTAACCTGAAGTCTTAGTACGAAGTCAATTTCTTTCCCTGCCACGGGCTTGCCGAGTACCGTGAATGTCAAATTTCAAGAGATGGTCTCTTTTCATAGGAACTGATTAAGCTTCCTTTCTACAACAGCACATGTGTACAAGGGTGTGGAACACATTTCAGAATAAGTTAAATATTAAGACGTACAGTATGGCAGTTAACGCCCTATTTTTCTCCTACCGGGTAAATCGGAAAGTTCATCCTAACCTTACACGTTTATAAAAGGGTGAGGGCCGAGGGACCCAGTGATACCAAAAATGCACCACAACCATCAGAACCGTATTCTCTAAGCGCTCTGGCCGAGTATTTACAACGGGTCCTGCCACAGTCACGCCTGCAATCCTTCCACGGAGGATCAGAACGGACCAGACTCCGAGGTTCACCACAAGACCACGGGCAGCGGCTTTGAAGTTCAGGCCGACATACTCCTTCTGCCCTGGAGCAGGGACCCAGGGGTCACACCGTGACGCGTCTGCACTCACCCCGACTACTCACGTAACAAACACAAGTTAAATATTATCAAAATTACTTTAAATTAAATTGAAGACCGCGATGTTTAAGTGCATGAAATCCACCCCCCGCCCCCGAGCTTCCTGAACGCACACGACACAGCAAGAACGGACATCCTTGGGAACGACATCCACGTTCCTCTGTGTTGAAACCCATCTGCTTCCTCTAAGCACTGGAGGTCCGTGAGACCCCTGA